GAATTCTAAAATTAAATACTCGAAAATAATTAATTGAGAATTGATTATTATTTAAATAATGTGATTATTTAAATTTGAATTTGAACACATCTAGATTTATCCATTTAAACTTATTTGATAAGTTGTTCAATTTAGAATTCAAATTAATATAAGTTTGACTTAAATTCGAATTTGAATCTGAATTAAAATTGGACTACTGGATAAAGGATAAAATCTCTTCCTTCCCTATCTGATATAGGCGCCACACACAGGGATAAAACCCTAGAGGGTGGCCGGCCATTTAGAGGATAAGGGGAAGGGATTTTTCTGTTTGAAATTCAAAATTAGAGATAAGGATTTGATCCTGTTTTGAAGTTTGACTTATACTCTTTAAATATGAGAATGATAGAAAATTGTGGACACAATTTTTGAAAACAATTTTTCAGCCCTAAGAGTTAGTGGTGGCCGAATTTCTCAATAGCAAAAGAGAGAGAAAATATTTTTCTCCAAAAATTCCACATCGTGCATACGTTGGTGTTTGTGAAAATTCGAGTGTTTAAGAAACTTGTTTTTGTCTCACGTGTGCCCACACACACGTCTACGTGGAATCTAAGAATTGACGTGGAAGACTTTGGTATTCTAAACACAAAGATTGGAGCAAGGATTGTTCGTGGTCAAAGAATTCAAGTTATCATCCGAGTCGGCTTCCAGGTATTTTTCTGGATTGAATTCTTGATGTAAATTAATGCGATTAATTTATTCGTGCATAAATTAATATAATCTATAGAGTATCTCAAAAGTTTTATAAAAATTTTTGTTATACACGATCCGCCTTCCGCACGCTTCCACACCCGAATTCGATTCGGGAACAACAATAACAGCATTGATTAAAACAAGTAATTCTCAATGAGGTGGAATATAAAAATGAGTTCTTATTTGGCCCAATACAGTAGGAAGTTGAAAGAAAAAAAAACACACACACAAATATATATATATATATATATATTTCATATTTACCATTTAATCAGTTACTTCTTTTAAATGAATGCTAGTTAGAGACTTTGGCTGATCTTGTTATTATAAACTCAAAGTCGGATTTATTTTGTGATAAAGATTGAGAATGAGATAGCAACAAACCAAATTTCAATTTCAAATCTATTTTTTCCTCCTTCAAAAAAAAAAAAAATAAAGAACTTCAATTTTGTTTACAGAGAAAATACCATAGCCAAAAAGTTTAAGAGGTTATTCTTTTACATTTTTGAGTTAGGGTGACTTGAGTGATGATTTTGAGTTGAGTTTGAGTTATAACTTGAGTTGAAGTTGTAACTTAAGGGCCCGTTTAGTTCGCTGCTTCGAGTTTTTAATTCGAGTTGAGATGTGACTTTATGTGAGAGCTTTTTATTGTAGCAAAAAAGTTAGATGTGATTGTTTGTGAGAGCTTTTTATTGTAGAAAAACTCGAATTTTAAACTCGAATCAGCGAAATAAACGGGGCCTAAGTTTCTGTTTCGATGTGCATATTTGAGTTATGATTTAAATTGAGAATCTTTTTGAGTTTGTGTTTGGTTGAGTCAAAACTTAAATTTGTATTTAGATAGTATTTTAATAAAAACTCAATAGTGATGAAAAATTTTAATAGGGTATATGGGTGTAGTTTTATTCGTCTTTTCGTTGTGAATGCATAAAAAAAAAATCATCTTAATCGGAATTAAAACGAAAAAGTTATGATATTTTTAAGAATAAAAAAAAATGTTTATTAACTTGAGTTCGAGTTGAAGGGAAAACTTAAACTCGTGTTTAGTTCTAAACTCGAGTTCAAACTCAAGTTTAAACTCAAGTTTAAACTCGAGTTTTACAAAAAAACATAAACTTAAATAAAGTTATAATTCAAGTTAAAAATTTTTCTGAATTTTATTTTAAAAGAACAACTCCTAAATTACTCCCATCGAAAAATAAAAGTTTGAATTGCGCTTCAAACTTGCAAAACAAACCAAACAGTTCCTTTTAACCCCAAACCTCTGTGGCAAAGGACTTTAACTTTTTAGAATGAAGTAGGTAAAAGACCATTTCCATCGGAGAAAAAAAATATCAATGAAATTCAACAATGAAGAAACTGAATAGTAGATAATAGACACATGGCAAATACCCAATAAGCCCATTTGATCGCCGGCGAAGGAGAATTAAAAAAAACAAAAAAGGAAAAAGAAAAAAGCAGAGAGACTCCATTGGTTATACTTCCATTGTAGTCGCCTTCAAATCAAGTGATCATCAAATTACAAATACACCCATGTCCTTCACACAAAAAACCTCTACCGTGGGACTCCAAGAAGGACACTACCGTAATCTCATCTAAACACAATCTAAAACACCCTGATTTGCCGGCGAACAATATACTTTGCCGCCACTTTCGAAGTCTTTTTTGTTTTTCATATCAAATCTGTTTTCTTCAAGAACAAAACAAAGAAAAATCCTAAACATTCTTTACCAATTCTCTCATCACTCCCCAAACACAAAGGAAAGAAAAAAAAAATGAAGAAGAACAAGGAAAGTGAATTACCTGTCGTTTTGGACCAATCTATGAAGCCAAGGTCTCGAAAGCCGAAATATCGTGAAGTAAGCTCGCGTTATATCTCCCCTTCTTCTTCTCCCACCAACTCGATCGATATCGGAAACCCACCTCCGATTCAGGCCCTTTCGCCGGTCCGGCGAAAACCCGATTCTCGAAAAAACCGGCCGGGCCAGCTCGACGACCCGGCCTCTCTGCGCGGACTTTGGCCTTCGTCGTCGTTGTCATCTTCGGCCTCAAAGTTCGACACTTTGGCCGATCACCTCGGAAACGACAGGCTAAATGACCTTCTCGAGCGCAAAAGCTCTGTTTCTCTCGATATACAGGGGAGCTCCAGAGAGTCTATTAACAGAAACGAAAACGACAAAGATTTCACCGGTACGAAGGAAAATCACAGGCCGATTATCGGAGGCTCGATGAGGTACACGGGAACTTCACGGTTTTCCGGGAAATCTTCGTCTTTGTCGTTTGCGAGTAAGGTTTTCAATAGCTCGGAAATGGCTCCCGGGAGATTATCCGTGGATGAAAATTCTCTGTTTCAGAAACCGAGAAGAATGTCGGAAATTTTCACGGGGAATGCGGAATCGGGATCGGAGCTAAGCGACGCCGTTTCCTCGACGTATTCGAGAGTGAAAAATAAATCAGGCATTGAAGTTTCTTCGAAGTACATGAACGACATAGGAAGACAGCAGAGACGAGGGACTTCGGATTCGAACTTATCGGATAATTCTCCGAGGTTTGGAAATTTCACATTTCAGAAAGCCATCAAGAGGGCCAATTCACTGACGGGGTACGGCAGTTCAAAGTCCCAATGGGCGTTGTCGCCCGGGAGGTCGGATTCGCCGCCGTTATCGGTGGAGAATAAAGGAAAACCGATGTCGTTTTCGAGTTTGAGACCGCCTGATAGTTCCTCGAAAACGAAAGGCGTGGAGAAATTGTTCAACTTGGGTTTAGACTTCTTTAAGACCAAGAAATCTTCATCTTCTTTTGCTTCTCCATCTCCTTCTCCTTCTCCTTCTCCGTCGTCGTCTTGTAATTCGTTGCCGGGAGTTTACAGTGCTTCGGAGTCCGTTCATCAACTCCGAATGCTTCACGGCAGATTGATTGACTGGCGTTTTGCAAATGCTAAAGCTGATTCTGTAAATGCCAACTTAGCTAATCATGCAGAGGTACATAATATATACTATTTTCCTATTATGCATTTTTCTTTCAAACTCTAGTTTGAAATTATCGCTAAACTATATTTGCAACTATAAATTTATTATGTACTTCAGCTCTCCATTCTTCGCGTTTGTAGTTTTTTTTTTTTTGATATATTGCAGGGCAAATTGATATGTGCTTGGGATGGTCTTACAAAATTACAACATTCTGTGGTACAAAAAAAGCTGCAGCTTCAGAGGGAGAAGCTTGAGATAAAACTGAACTCTGTACTTCAATCTCAAGTACGTAGCTACAGATATTTAATTGAAAAACAATTCTAGTTTTCAATGAAGCAAAATGAGTTATAATTTGAATACCTATATGTGGTAATTTTGTGTAGTTTAAGCTATTGGAAGTGTGGGGAGATATGGGGAGGCAACACTTAGCCGCAGTTTCCATGACTAAAGAATCTTTACATTCTGTCATCTGTAAAGCACCCTTAGTAGAAGGGGCAAAGGTAGGCCAAAATAAAGCCTTTTTTTTTGTCCTATGATTTGAGTTGCTAAAATCTAGTGATCATGTTTTCCTAACAAAATTTTTCTTCTAGATCGATGTTCAGTCGGCGTCGGTTGCACTCCGGCATGCTTTAGATTTCATGTCTTCCATTAAATCAATGTTGACAACTTTTTCACCCTTGGTATGTTGCAGTACTTTGTCTAAAGCTATAGAAACTCTGTAAAATCTACGAATGCAAACATATAATTTTTTTTTTTCTTCACAGACTGAGGAGACTGTTTCACTAATCTCAGAATTAGCCGAGGTAGTTGTTCGAGAAAAGTTGCTTCTAGAGGAGTGCATTGAACTTCTTAAGACCATATTCAATTTAGAGGTAAATTTTAAGTATTTGTTGCAAAATGAGTAACGTGTCTTCGCTGAAAATATTTTGTTTTGGTTTGTTTTCTTTTTACTGGTCGAATCACAATTTAGTTGACGTTTGTTTTAAGGGTTTTGCTTGGTTTAGGATCATAGTTATTGGTTTTGTTACGGTGTTTTTTTCAACAAAAAATTAAAATTATGAACTATAATTTTAAACTCATGAACCAAATGTCATCTTAAACTTTTTTACTACAGTATTTTCTTTCAAATAATTCAAATTCAACTTTTTTTATTATATATTTTCTCTTACATAAATACATTTTTCAATTTAAGTTTTCTAACTCTCGTTTGATTCTTTTTCTTATGTTACGTGGTCAGGTTGAGGAAAGGAGTTTGCGGTGTAGTATTTTGCAGATGAAGTCTTTACAACAACAAAAGCATAAAGTGGACGAGAAGGATAAGAAATCTGTTCACGATCTTTGATTTTTGTGTTATCAATGTGTAGAATGATTAAATTTAAGCAGAATTTATGTTCATATTGCTAGCTATTACTGCAGAATTTATGTAAATGTGGCTTATAATAAGGCTCTTTATAGGGCAAGAAATTTTTGCTATCAATTTATGAGCATCTTACTGTGTTTCCAATGAAATGGAAGAAAATAATTTCCTATCATGATTCCGTGATAATGCAGACAAAACTTGAGTTAAATTTGACTCAAAATAATAAATGAGTAAAGGTTATGTTAATGGACCTACCTATGCGAAGCACAAATCCTTGTCATTATGTCCTATGGCGAAAAAGAAAATTGATATTTGGTTAATATGCATGTATGAAAATTTTAAACCGAATATGATGTTCTAGTCTTCATTCAATGAGAGATTATATTAAAGGCTATTGTGATATACCAAAAGTTAAGCGATTAGTGACTATTAACATAAACTTAATTTATGGCTTACAACAATTCATTCATATCTTGGCATGTGAAATCACTATTTTTACGGTATGTTTGTTTCACATTGTAGTAAAATTAAATTTAAATTTTTGTAGAGAAAACGTTAAATGAATTTGAGTTGTGATTTGAATCGTGAATATTTTTTTCGCTGAATATCTAGTGCGAGGATGGGTTATTGTGGACTGTAGTAGTGGAGAATGGTGAAACATCTAACGGTATATATTTATTCTGTTTTTTTTTTCTTTGTTTAAATTCAAAATTACAATTTACAAAATAAAACGACAATAGATCAGAAGAAAAACAACATTCGGAAGCGATAATGACAAAATATTAGGCAAATCTTATTTTTCGCCTTTAGTATTTTTCTTAACTTTTGATTTCTCTAGATATAAGATTACGCTATATGAGGAAAATAAACTGAGAATAAAGATAATGGCAAAGAGGGGAAGAACCTCAATTATTCCTCGTTGTATCTTTTTCTCTTTGAGAAAAATTCTTTTTTTTTTTCCTGACAGAAAATCTTTTTTGTAATCTTTAAAACATAGATGATTACACATTTTATTCATGTTGCTAAATTTTTGTGTACTTATGACGAACATAAACAAAAATAGCTCCCAAGGAACCAACACATATGCAATAAAAAAATAAAACAAGGTAACTAACAAGTAACAAGCAATAAGAAAAAGAAAAAAAAAATCAAATTGTATATCTTGTGTTTTATCGAATTAGTGAATTGATATCAATTTGTAACTCATACTAAAAAAAAAATCAACCGTTGAGTATCTTGAGATCATTTTTGGGATAAATTTAGTTGTTTCTTTCTTTTTAAAGTAAATAAATATTAGGGAAAAATCAAAATGTTCAACAACAAAAAATCCCAGTGGTGAACAGCTGAGACCTAGATCAACCAAATCTATCTTAAAATATGAAAATGGAAGAAAATTCAGATTTTAATTATTGATTTTGTTTTATTAGGACTTTATGCATCAAAAAATCAATTTGATGTTTTTCTTTAAAGAAGACATTTTACATTGAAAAAACGAGCGAAAGGATATATTTTTTCTTTATTTTTCTTTTATTTTTTGAAATACGAAGTGCTAATTTGATGTTATCCAAATCACTAAGTACTTATCAACCAATTTGATAAAACTCCAGTAGTAAAAAAAAAAAAACCGATAAAACTCAAATTTTGAAAAACAAGGGGAGAAAATAAAGGAAAATTGATAGAACATTAAAAATTTGTTAAAAAAAAAAAAAAAAAAAAAAAAAAAAAAAAAAAAAAAAAAAAGAAAAGCAATAAAAAATTAGGAATTTTGTGGACGGCGTCGTTTAGATCCCCATACTCGCACGGTCGCAGTCTTTAGGCATTTCTGTTCTCTCTCCGGCGCTCCCCCCCTTTTATCAGTATCAGCTCCGCCTCTCTCTCTCTCTCTCTCGGAAGCTCAAAGCCATGGCCACCATAGCAGCGTCCGTAGCCCGCCAAGCCGCAACCCTAAGTCGGGTCTCTTCTCCAAAGACAGCCACTAATTTGATTCAACGCCGCGGTCTCGCCGGCGCTGCTGGTAAATCCGACTATTTCCGATGTTTCTCTTTCATTTACTGTATTCCTGATCTCGCTAGTTGTGTATCGGAATGTGAAAGTCCTTTTCTTTAGCTTTGACATTGCATTCTGTTTGGTCCCCGAGAAATTGGGGCAAAATGAGATCAAAATTTGTTACCTTTTTTCCTTCTTCATAGAATCTGACCTGAGTTCGTATTATTTTTCTTCATTTTGTATCTGTGGCGATTTAGAAATAAATTGCCGTGTTTTCTTTTATTGATTTTGGAATGTTGACACTTTTGAGGATTTGCAGATCACCATGGTCCCCCAAGGGTTAACTTCTGGGAAGACCCAATGAGCCCCTCTAAGTGGAAGGAAGAGCATGTAAGATTATTTTGCTTTGAAAGTGTTGATACATTTATAACCCTTGGTTTTGGTTTCTAATTTTCACCAAAGAAGATTATTTTTTGAACATATAGCGACTATTGAAGATCTTTTCGCAACCTTTTAAATAGAAAAAAAGATTAAATAAACTCAGTTATGATTGGCCTCTAGAAAAAAAATGCTTTTTGTGTTTGTATCCAACTTCTGGCTTAGTGGAAATCATTTTCGGTATTGGATTCAAACGGGTTCTGATGAGAATGATGCTCTCTGTTTGACTTTGTATTACAATCTTATATATTGGAAACTGCTAACGTGAAAACGTGTAGTTATCCTTATCTCCGTGTTTTATCAGTTTCTTTCTGTTTAAGTTTATTTCAAAAGAAAGTAATCTGATTTTTGGCTAACTTTCACCAGATTGCATATCGGTTATTTTGGTTGAGATTGGAACCTAATCTAATTGTCAATTAGGTTAATGTTTTTGTCGTGAATTTTCTTTCGTAAATTTTGAGATTTTTCAGTATTGCTCTTTGTATTCTCTCCTTTTCTTCCTGTAGTCTGTTATTTTGAAAACTATAACCTGTAAGTTGGATAATATGAAGATAAGATGGGGCTTGATTGTTCAAGGAAATCTTGCTTAGCTTAGCAGTTAGCAGTACGTTTAGCTGATTTGTGCTTTTTTTTTTCTTTTGAATTTTTTTTATCACTTACTTGAACTGTCAATGTAACAGAAGTTAGTGAGTAAATGGAGTGGAGAAATTGTCTTAATTTTGCGCATACTTTTGCAGTTTGTAATTGTCTCTTTATCCGGTTGGGGCCTGCTCTTCTTTGGAGGGTACAAATTCTTTACTCGGGGAGGCAAGAAGGAAGAGGTACTTAGCATATTTATTTTATGTTTATAGTTTGTGTTGTGTACTTGTGTTTATAATATGGCCAGGGTAAGAAAAGAATTTAGCACTACTACTGTTTAATTAATCTAGTTGTCTGTGGCTCTCTGCAAAAATTTTTTCTTGTTCCTTTTATGTGAAAAGTGATCCAATGGTTATTGTAATGAGTTCATGATTAAATGAAACTGTTTATTTGCGCATTCTGGTGAAACACATGTCTGGTTTTGCTGTCTAGCCCAGCAACCTCATTATATGTTCTCTCATGCTAATCAAGAATTAGCATGGTGCAATAAATTTGTAGAGCATTGCATCACATTATATCACCTACAACTTATACCCAATTAGAAAAAGTTTAACATCTTCTACTTATCTTCATATTCAACTTACAACTCTGATGTCTAAAGTAAAGTTCTTCCTTGCATTCTAGTTATTAGGGGCGAATTTATGTTTGAAGATGCATAAAGGTCCATTTTCTTTTTTGGATTTTACGTTCACTTGCAAAGTTTGATGAAAATATGTATTCTACCTGAAGTTCAAACATCTTATTCCTTTGACGTTTCCGCGCCTAAGTGCAGTATGTTTTGGATTTGTCTTTATTGCAATATAACTCGTGTTACTGAGCATTGACGCAAACACATTGTTTATGGTGCTTAATTTCTTTGGTTGTTTTGCAGAAACTGGCGGAAGCATCACAGTAACGGTTCGAGCTTCAATATTGCGGATCTGCTTGATAATAATGTTTTTCTTGGACTTTGACTTGTCTTGGAAGTTTTTTTTCTTGTTAGCAAAAACAACTGTGATAGTTAATCTTGATTCATTGCAGTAAATTGGCATACTTGGAGGTCAATTTGATTTAGCGTGAGGTCGTCTCTCTCCGTTTGCTTTGTTCTTTGGAAGTTGTCTTTTGTGTCGAGTGCACCAAACCTTCTATGCTTGCAATAATGACACAACTTCATGTTCAATTTTTACTTTTTTGTTGGTAGAACCACAACTTCATGATCAATTATGCTGATAGAATTTTCACATATGCGGATTGTGGATTTGAGGACGACAGCAACAAGAAAAATGTACAACATATGCTTCATTATAGAAGCAAATTACACAACTGCAGATTTTTTTAAAGGTTTACTTGCACCGTTGTCCCTAAAACTTGTCGCTCATTTGTAAAGATTATCTTGAATTTAGGAATATGTTGCAAACCAATTGATAACTATTTTAATATTTAATGGAAAATGGCATGTGACTTGGATATGGGTTGTCAATTAATAGCATGAGCATGATGGATTATTTACATCTAGTTTAATCTATGGAGTTAGAGCTTTTAATTAGTGTTTATCAAAATATAATATTTGAACTTTGTTTTAAAATAAATTTGGGTAAGAACAAATAAGAATTATTCTCATCTGTGATTCCTAAATTTTAGACTTATTTTCACTTGGCTTTGAAACTTTAAAATCTGTCACTTTACTATCTCAGTGTCTCACTTAATCTCATTTGTTAGAATTTATGCTGAAAACAACTAGAAAAACCTATATGACCTTACTTAGCTTTTTTATGTTTGTTTTTAAGAAAAATTTTAGTTTAGAGAGTTAAGTGAGACTAATTTAAAATTCAAGGGTAAGTGAGAGTTTTTAAAATTCATGAAATAGAGTGAAAATGATCAAATTCAAGGGTACAATTGAGAATAATCCAACAAATGAACATTATACTCATGCCTTCAATTAATTGCCCATGTGCAATTCACATGTCAATTTTTAAAAGAGAGAAAGAGGGCATTTGCGCTTATGGGAGTGCAGCAGAGTGCCATATGGATTGTGCGCAACGAATACATGCAACCCCTTCTTATATAAATTTAAGCCACCACTCTTTTATTTTGTACCTCATTTTTTCTCTCTCTCGTGAGTAAGGGTGTAAGAATTGAGCCCGAACCCGAGCAACCCGCCCGACCCGACCCGAAAGCTAAGTTTTTTTTTTTTTTTTTAAATTTATTTATTTATTTATTTTGATTTTGATTTTGATTTTTTTTTAAAATTCATATTAAATTAGGCCCAACCCGCACTGTGCAGGTTGGGGGGCGGGGCGGTCTTTTTTGTACCCGATTACACCGACCCGACATGTTGTGTAAGTGTAACCCTAATTCCTTCGTCTCTTCGCTGGCCTCCCTCAGTCCCTCTCAGTCTCTTTGTCTCACTCTCAGTCTCTCGCCTCCCTCCTCTTCTGTTGCTCGCCTCCCTCCAATCCTCAGTCTCTCACCTCACTTCACTCACGCCTCGCCTCCTCCTTCGCATTCTCCGTTCCACTTCACCCTAAAAGCCTAATCCTCATGCCTCGTATCCGATTTTGATCCACTTCACGCTAAATCCCTAATCCTTACACTTGTCGTCGTTCCTTATTCTCCGTTCCTCTTCTTCTTCTCAGTCTGTCACAGTTCCTTGCCGTTCATCACACTCGGGATTCGTCACCGTTCATCGTAAGTTCCTCTTCTTCTTCCCCTTTTTTTTATTTTTTTTATTTCTCTCTGAATCAGAGCAAACCAAACAGAAATGGTTTTGTGAAATTTGAATCTTTTTGTTGAAATTTATTACTTTGTGAATTGGAGTTGTTTGTTTGTTTCATTAATTTGAATCTTCTTTTTTTTTTCATTCGATTGGCTGATTTTGGAGGAAGGTAGGACATTTCCTATCTTTTGCAATTTTTATTTATTAATATCCATTAATGGACGAAAAATGATTGGGGGGGGATGATTTTTGAATTATCAAGTTTCCGTCGAGTATATCAGCGGGGATGCTTGGCATTATCTGAATGACATCTTGTTTATGATAGCTTTGAATGATGCTAAAAGAGGGGATATTATATATGTACTCTACATCTTGTTGCTTTCTTGCTGATTTAGTTGTTTGTTTGAGCTTTAAGCATTGCCCTTTTGTTTTGCATTATGGATTTGGACTTGTATAAGAAGTGGGGTAGGATTGATTTTCCGGTTGGAAGACATTAGTTGGTGTGAGATTTATATAAGTGCTTTTTGTTTATCGAAAAGTGAAACATGAAGAAATCCACGTGAATAATTGATCTTTACCGTAAAACCTATCTTGTTAGTAATCATGAAATCGATCTTAGAAAAAATAAGGAAGATGGCGTTGAGAGAAGTTTATGCTGTAGTGACCTTGACAGAATGGAAGCTCTTCTAGAGTCCTTGCCACGCCCTGTCTTGTCCCTTTTCTTTTAACCGTGTGAGGTTCTTATTGTGGTTTGGAATTCAGGGTTTAATACTTTGAAAACGAATGTGGTTTTTAATCCAATTTTGATGCTAGTTTCTGCTTTTTTGTTTCCAGCCGAGGAAGATAAGTGAAGACTGAAGAGGTATTTTCAGTCTATACTTTAAAGACTGAAGAGGCAATTGAAAACAGAAAGGTTAGACTTTTTTTATGTTGGTTTCTGCTTTTTTTATTTTCTGTTTTTGATTTTTTGTTTGTTATGTGATATATTACGTTTTTCAATTTTGAAAACAGAAAGGTTATATGTGATATATTACGTGTAGTCTCAATTATATGTTATCTGTTTTTAGGTTAATTTGTGTGCTAGATGAAAAAATTTATCATCCACCCGACAGAAACTTCTGAAAGCACTTGCAAGTCCTCTGCTGAAACAGAAAGTGTCTCTATGCCTAAAGAGACCATTACCTTGCCCACTCTCACACCCAGCCCTACCCCTGTACCTAATTTGGGCACTAAAATTGAAAACGGAAAGGAGGAGGGAGACAGTAAAAAGAGGAAGAAGTCACAAAAAAAGTCTCCTGTTTGGGATCATTTCAAAATCATAGAGGGTGGGGATCCAAATGAGTCTAGGTGTACGTGTATCTATTGTGGGGTAACATATGCATGTGATAGTAGGAGACATGGCACCAGTAGTATGAAGGTTCACATAGAAAAGCAATGCAAGAAATACTCATATAGGAACCAAGGCAAAAGTAAAAATCTCTAAGTTTCCAAACAAACACTGAAACTGACAGTAATCTTGTTGCTATAAGCTTTAACAATGAGCATTGTAGAAAAACGTTAGCAAAAATGGTGATTGTAGATGAGCTTTCATTTGTTGAAGGTGAAGGATTTAAGAATTTTTGTCAAGTGACGCAGCCTAGGTTCTCTATCCCCTCCCGTGTTACGATTGCTAAGGACATTTACCAACTTTTTTTGGAAGAGAGGAAGAAACTAAGGGCTGAATTTAGGAAGGGCGGTCAAAGGATTTGCCTAACAACTGATTGTTGGACATCCTTACAAAATATTAATTATTTGTGTCTAACTGCATACTACGTTGATAGTGAGTGGACTTTGTAAAAAAGGATTATAAACTTTTGTCAAATTTCAAGTCACAAGGGAGAGAGTGTTGGTAAAGTCATTGAGTCATGTTTGCATGCTTGCGGTATTGAGAGAGTCTTCACTATGACTGTTGATAATGCCTCCTCAAATAACTCCATGATTACCTACTTGAGAAGGAAGATTAAGGGGTGGAAAGAGGTTGTTTTAGGTGGGGAATTTCTGCATGTTAGGTGTTGTGCCCATATAGTGAACTTGATTGTCAATGAAGGTTTAAAAGCCCTACATGATTCCATAGCTGCCATTCGTAACGCTGTGAGGTATGTGAGGTCTTCTCCGGCTAGGTTGCTGAAATTCAAGTCATGTGTGGAGCGAGAGAAAATTGAATACAAAGGTCTCGTATGCTTAGATGTCCCTACTAGATGGAACTCCACCTATATGATGTTAGATGCAGCCATTAAATTTCAAAAAGCTTTTGAAAGATATGAAGAGGAAGATGACAAGTTTGTGTCTTATTTTCGGGAAGATGAGGGGGAGAAACGGAAGATTGGTCCGCCACTTGATGATGATTGGGAGAATGTTAAGGTGTTTGTGAAATTTCTGAAGACTTTGAAGTTTAGTCCCACTTTGAATGTCACTTCAAATTCTTACTTTCATGAGCTTTGTGAGATGTAAAACTAGCTATCTGAATTAAGCAAACAAAAGGAAATGCTTTCATCCATGGCTGTGAGTATGAAAAAGAAGTATGACAAGTATTGGGAGAATGTTGAGAATATAAATTGTCTTCTCTTTGTGGCTGTTGTACTTGATCCTAGGTACAAAATGGATTATTTGACATATTGTTTCTCTGTAGTGTATGATTCTTGCACTTCTGAAGCATTAGCAAAGAATGTGAAAGATACTATGTACCGGCTGCATGAGGTTTATAGTGGGGAGAAGGGTGAATCTGTGGCTAATGAAAGTAGTGGGGAGGCGTCAACAAGTACAACGGAGGGAAAAACGGAAGTAGAAGGAAAATGGTGTTTATGGAGCAAGTTTGTTAGGAAAATGAAGGAGAAGAATGTGAATGAGTACAAAAATGATGTGGACAGATACTTGACAGACCCTATGGAGGATCTAACTCGGTCAAATTTTGATGTTTTAGATTGGTGGAAGAATAATGCAACTAATTACAAGGTTCTCTCACTAGTTGCAAGAGACATTCTTGCCATTCTTGTTTCAACGGTAGCCTCAGAATCTGCTTTTAGTACCGGAGGCCGCATCCTCGATCCCTTTAGGAGTTCATTGAGCCTCAAGATGGTGGAGGCATTGATTTGTATATAAAATTGGCTGCGTAGTCGTCAGCACATCAACCTTATTGACGTGGAAGACTTTAATGAATATGAAGATATTGAGTCAGGTAATCTTTTTACGTTTTACTTATTTTTTTTTAATTTTATTTCATCTCCTTGTTGTTTATTTTGTTGTTCTAAACTTGATTATGATGATTTTTTTTGTTATGTTTTCTTCTCAAGATTTGTCAAATTCTGTTGCAACACATGAGGGGCAAGTTGGGAATGAAGGTGCTATTATTCTGGATTAAACAGTTTAGAGTGGACTAAATTTCTTATTTTGTGACTTTCTTTATATGGACTATTTATTCTGGATTAAACTGTTTATTTTATATGGACTATTTTGCTTCTCAAGATTTTATTCATCTCCTTATTGTTTATGCTTTTGGACTGTTAAAAGAGGTATGAAGTTATAGATTAAAATTAGTTTTCACCAACCCGACTCTACTTGAGGTCACCCGAAAGGTTGCGGGTTTGTAGATTTAAGAGAGTGTCGCGGCCTAAAGTTTTCTCAACCCGTATTGGTCGAGTAGGCTCAATTTTTCAGCTCAACCCAACCCTATCCGGCCGATTTACACCCCGACTCGTGAGGAAGTTAAGCAACATCTCGTCTTGGTTAAATTTTTTTCGTGTCCTTATTTGTTACCCAAGTGGTTAAGATGCAAGTGGGCTTTTGTAAAAATCAAGACCGAATAAGCCTGAAATTTGAGCTTGTCCAGCACATTCTTGGAACGTAGCAGAGCAGGGGTATAGACCATAGATAACATGGAAGGGGTTGTTTAAGTGTAAGTGTGAAACGTCGGCTCGGTAGTAGCAAAATCTTGTTCGTAGTAAGTAACTCATGGATTAGTGGAGAGTTGGGGATATAGTCCAAATTAATGGAAATTTTTTCAGCTTAGGCTATAAGTGTGATCTACTCATGAAAATCCTAATCTTCATAATTTTCTCAATTCTTAACTGATGATTATAAATAGTATAATTTAAAGGACAAAAATTAAAATTAATACAAAATGTACAATTAATTTATACATATTTATTTACTTTTTTATTTTTTTGTTTTTCGATCTGTAATCTTTGCGGATATATGTAGAAGGGTGTAGAATTTCCCATGCCTATTTTAGAGTTTTTAAAAATAAAAATATATATATATTAAAAAAACCTTACAATCCTAAATATAAAAGTCATATCATGTAAAAATAAAACAACCAAAATATAAAAACAAACGAAACTTAATAGAAACAAATAGAGACAAATCACTAAGATTTTTTAAATTTAAAACCCTTTTCCTTACGAGTGCTAAATTCGTAAGAATAGTTTAAAAAATAGTTTGATTCTTAGGTAGTTTGGAACAACGTTCACATTTGGCAATTAGTTTCCATCCGGTAGTAAAAGTAAAAATAATAATTTTTAAAAAAAATTATTGCATCTTAGTAGTCCACGCATTGTATTTCAATTTTGCTGAACTAGACAAAGTAACAAAATTTTTAGAAACCATCATCCTTGAAAGTGATATGTTATAAAAAGATTTCCATCTTTCCCTTGATATTAGTTACAAGCAAAGCTTAAATAACTTCTGGCATTGGATAACAGAGACTGGTTTTGTGTTACAAACAAAACTAAACGAACATCACTGCTGGTAATAGATACACATGTTTTAAGACCTTTTTGGCGAATAAATCTTCATCAGGTGCTTACCTTAAAAATAAATAAATAAATATATATATATATATATATATTGTGCCAATTTGTTAGAACTCCTACTCATCAATTTCCCCCTTGTATTCTTCAAATAACTCATCATCGCCTCCATGTTTTCCTGATTCTTTCACATCTCCATTTATAGAAACTTCACCTTTCTTAGGCATCTCAAAAGAAGAGACGTCAGATTTTCTTCCTTCTAATTGGCGATTATCTTCCCCTAGTAGTACCCCTCCCTTGGTAGCTGCATTCTTAACTCTGCTCTTCAAATCACCATGCTCATCTTTATAGAATCTTACACTCCTCCTCCTTGTCACCCTGCTTAATTTTCCACTCTTCTCCAATCTCCTGCTCTTAGCTATTTTTCTCCATCTTTTCCCCTTAACATTATCACTGACAGAGCCGCGTTTACCATTCTTTTCAAAGCCATCTCGGATTTCCAACTTCATTCCTCCTTCAACACTCCCGGGATTTTCCTCACCTTCATCTTGTGACTTTTCATGTTTTCCCAACTGCCCATCTCCTTCAACTTTAAGCTCTTCACCATCCATGACCTTTCCGACCATATTCCGGGAAATCGCACCAGTTGAATTTGCAACGATGTTGAGACTCAAACTCACATTCTCATCTTTAGAATCTTCATTCTTGTCATGTTCTTGGCCTTCTATAGTGGGGTTTTCAGTAACCCCATCTTTGACACTTTGATCTCCCACTTTGTTTCCATTTTCATCTTCAAGTTTTGCAGTTTCACCCTCTTCAATAATTCTTCTCTCGCCATTATCTTCACTTCCACTCTTGCCCTTTTGCTCTGTCTCAGCTGTATTATTTACTGACCCGGCATTTTCCGGGTTTTGAAGACATCGTTTCAAGTCCTCAATCTCAGCTTCCTTTTGCTTCAAGCTCTCAACTAAGGCCGCCACTTGATTATTTTCCTTTTCATTGCTTATCTGATCTTGTGCTCTTAGCATTTTGATCTCGTTTTGCTTCTCCTCAATTGCAATCTCCATGGTCCTCTGTTCATCTTTTAGAGAATCTATTGTGGATTGCATCTCTAGGAGTCTCCTGTCAAGCTCCATCTTTTTGGTTCTAAGTGAGTATATTTTTGCTTTCATCTCTTCATTCTTACTTTTCACTTCTTTCATGTAGTCCCTTTCTTTCTGTCATAGCGCACAAATAACTAAATAAGGTTTTTAAACGACTCATTGAGAACTAACACTCTTTTCATGTTGAACCAAGACCAACCAATTTTAGTATCTGTAATATTTACATCTACAAACGTCTAGTCACAAACCATTATGCCGTGTTTGGTGAGAAATTCTTTTCTCCAATTCTTCTAGTTTTGAAACAATTAGCGTGCGTTTGAAAGAGGGATTCGTTCCATTATTTAAATCATAATTCGTGACTCACTACAGTAATTTTTTTTTTTAAAAACACACGTAAAACGAGAATAATTCTGAATAATGAACCGAACATCCCATTAGACTTAGAAGTTTTGTTAGAAAGAAAAATTTAAAATTTTTTCTTCTAATCTATCCTACCACACAACAAAGTTAAAATCATTCCATTAATTCTTCCACCCCTTAATTTTGTTCTTCAACTTTTTTCTCCTGTTATATAAGGCCTTGATGACAAACAAAGGACTAACTGTGATATGATCCAACAAACATTGAAGAAGAAAGAACAGGCCAAAAGAAGAAAAACAATAAGACAAAAAAAAAATGATTAAAGAATAAGACTGGTGCGTACGTGGCTTGAATACCGAAAGAAGAGAGTGACACGCAATGGGTTGCATGCAAGAGTGAGAAAAATGTTGGAGAAGGAGAGAGAGAGAGAAGTAATAATGGAAGTAGCACCTGCAAGAGGAGATGAAGGGAGAAGAGTTGGCCATCTTTCTCTTTGATGAGAAGGTTGAAGATTCGCCTTTCCCTGAGCTTGTGAAGAATCATGACCCCAAGCAACGCGGCCCCAAATGCTAATAGCAACATTAACCCATATGACCTTCCTCTACTACTACCTCCATTACTACTTCCGTTTCCTAATTTATTATTGTAAGATCCCCCAATTGCCATCTCTCTCTCTCTCTCTCTCTCTCTCTCTCTCTCTCTCTCTCTAGAATGACCACAAACGTCTGCTCACTACTCTGACGGAGAAAAATGGTTACTCTCTCTTGTATGCTCACTTTTCTCTCTGTGTAACTCAGAGGTCTATAATAATGCTTAATTGTTTGTCATGTAAAAATGAACACGCACCTAATCCTTCTACTCCTCTCTCTCTCTCTCTCTCTCTCATAAAAGCGAAGTTAACAAGGTTTCATATATAGTTAGAGAAGCATGGGAACTGTGTACAGGCGCTGATTCTGGTGACTCATACTTTTTTGACAAATTTACAAATTTACCAAACTACCCCTATTCTTCTTTTTTTTTAAAATCAAACCCGCAACTCTTGGAATTAAAAAAAAATGCAAATAATGGCCTATAAGTTCGTAGTATTAATATTCGTGACGTTGAATTGCTGATGTATGCATACAACAAACGGATATAATTTATGTAAGCATTATATGTTTTCATTAAACAAGGATCTAAATTCTTTATATGTACGTAGTCAACTCTTATCACATGATCTAGTTCGATGTAGAAATAAATGTTCCAAAGAGAAAACTCCATTAAAAAAATGCTTAAGATCTATTGCACTTGTCCAAAAGTTAGTACAGAGAATGAAGCTGTAAGAGAAGTGGAGAAAGTGTGCTTTTTACAAGTACTTTTTGTACAACTACTGACTTTAAAGGGCTTGGGGAGTTTAGATGGCTTATAACTGTTGTTTTAGGTACAAACTTTCAGACGATTTATTTGCACTATAACGAAATATATGACCGAATACTGAATTCGACGTGATGGTCTTTTTCTCCAAGTACCAAAAGATAGAAATCCCACAGAGAAACAAATGAGGTCCATTAAGGGATTTTATCAGTACTTGTGAGTTGTGACTGGTGTTGGCAATTGGTAGTTCTCAAGGGTGCAAGTGCAAACAAAATATAAGGGCGCAAATGCAAACAAAGTATAGCATGCATGTATATATATGACATATTTACACGCATGAAAGTCTACGCTGTGGAAAAGGGGAAAAGAGGAACTTCATAACTACGGTATCCTCACACGATGAACATGAACTGTGTGGCACGCGTGTAAACTGCAATTGCAAGGGATCTGAATGGCTACACTTTATTGAACGAACTTTGACCACTTTTTTTTATTTTCTTATTTGCTTTTTCAATGTGAAAATGTGATGGTGATGCGCGCTTTTTTTATTATTTTTTATTTTACATTTTTTTGTCTTTTTTTTTTTTGGGTACAAGTTAATTATTATTCTTTTAGGGTGTTCGGTTCAAGTTGGAAATTTAAAAATTAAAGGTATAGCATAGTTTTATTAGTTATGATAATATATAAGAAAAAAAAAGATTTATATATTTTACTGTATCAAAAAAAGACATACATTTTACAAACTAGTAAACTTCGAAATTAATATAATAATTATCATGTAAATTACACAGTATAATTATTATCTTATAATATTTCCGTAAAAAAATTGCTATATTTTACTTCCATATGTGGTGCAATTTTTACTAGCTTCAAATATTCAATCAAGTCAATCGATCAAAATCCTGCCAACACATTGTCAAAGGCCCCAAGTTATATGGGCCGAAGGCTCAGAAGGTGTGACCCAAGTGGAAGGAGCCCAAAACTCTCAATCAATCAGTTTACGCGAAGAACAAATACATCCTACTCCTAGGGGGGTCTTGGGGAAATTATTCGTAAGTTGTTCCAAAGAAAGACAACAATAACAATAAACCCAGATAATAAAGATATCTCTTAATTTCCTGGTGTTTCTTTAGAATTACCTCTCATGGACGACATATTCGATTCGTCACTGAATTTAGAGGAAACCCACTTGAAGGAAGGCTTCGATGAGGGCTACAAAGACGGTCTAATAGCCGGCAAGGGAGAAGCCGAGGAAGTGGGCCTGAAAGTCGGCTTCGAGGTCGGCGAGGAGCTGGGCTTCTACAGGGGCTGCGTCGACGTATGGAACTCGGTCGTTCGGGTCGACCCGACCCTGTTCTCGTCTCGTGTCCAGAAGGGGATTAAACAGATGAAGGAGCTAATTGAGAAGTACCCGGTTATGGAGCCCGAGAATGAGAGAGTTCAAGAAATAATGGATGCTTTGAGGCTCAAGTTCAGAGCCGTTTGTGCTTCCATGGGTGTGAAATTGGACAACAATGGCTACCCAAAATCTTCTTTAGAGGCTAAGGAGATTGAATTTTGAGTTGCAGTTTTGGCTATGGCCAATTTGATTGAAGAATTGTGTTTCTTCAATTGATTTAGACTGTAATCGTTTCTTCCTAATCTGGTTTTCTCCAGATACAGTTTTGGTAAAAATATTTACAAATCAGATCATTTTCTTAATGAAAGATTTTAGTTACTTGCTATGTTGATGCACATCATTTCATGGATTGTGTAATTTTGATAAATATTTTGCGAATGCCACATGTGTTTGTTCAAAATTCAAATAATGATTCAAGAACAACGAAAATTTGTGTGGAGCTTTTTAAGGCTAGAATTTTTTTTCTGCGAGCAAAGCAATAGCAATATTGAAATATATATGTATGTGATATAAACGTTGTTGTATATATACACATCTTTCTTACTTTTTTTTATCAGCGGCCGAAGAGCTTTTGTAGTGAAAAAAGAAATTGTGGCCACACGCCTTTTCCATTAATATTTTTTACCGTTATCTTGTGTTATTTATCTCAAAAATTATCTTTTTGTTCAGTTTGTGATGGGCAATTGAGAAGAGGGAAAAAAAAAATGTTAAAGTCGATGCTTGGTTGCTGCAAGGTGTACATATCCGAGAGCAGAAACAGAAAGGCACTTGAGTCCATCGAAAGAGCTGCCAGGCTAATCCCAGAAGCTCCCATCATCAACAAATTTGAGGATGACACTTACAACAGAGTTGGCTACACACTTGTGTCCAAATTATCTCCTGAACCATCATCATCATCATCATCATCATCATGTCCGTTGAGGAATGCTGTGTTTTCCATGTGCCGTGTTTTCCATGGTGAGGGCTGCAGTGGAGTCCATTGACCTTGAGATGCACAGCGGCAGCCATCCCCGGCTCGGGGTTGTGGACCACGTATGCTTCCATCCCTTGCTCTCCGCTTCTCTCGATCAGGCTTCTACTATTGCCAAATCTTTGGCGGCGGATGTTTCCCATGCCCTTCAAGGTTTGTTTTGTGCCTTACTTGATTGGATTTTTAGCAATGATAGTTGCCATGGAGCCTAATTATTGCCCTGATTTCGTTAGGTCATGTTCGGGTTTTGATGCATGTATTATGTATTTTCGATTATCCGAATTTTACTTGTATCGCTCGCACGGACTTTGAGATTATGTTAGATTGAAATACAAAGTGTTTGTAATGAAACAAAGTGTATTATGTATTCTCTTGTAAGTTTGTGATGAATAAAAAAGTGTATGTAACTCTCACGTTGTGAGCGAATCACTATAAATTCTGGGTGCCTTCTATTTTGTAATTTTTATTATTGCTCTCATTAGTAAATGATTAGGGTGTCCAATTCTTAACTGTAGTGGTATAGTATTGAGGAAAGTGTTCTTAAAGATGTTAAATTCCAAGAATGATTTGCGTTGTGATTATCAAGGATGAGGCTACCTCATGAGTCGTGTTCCATTTTCTCGTTGGTCCCTTTTTTATGGGTCTACTATGTTGTAACTATGTTTAAGCTTGAAAAGCAATAAATTTTCACCTAATATCAGTTAATGGTTTTAAATCCCCTGGTCAGTGGTCTCACTGCCTGAATCGAGCCTTCCCTGTAAGGTGAGTGCTGTTTTCTTGTGTTTGGCTTTTAACTTTTCAAGGAATTGAGCATCGGCAACTTTGTTCTTCTGATATTATATGGAATTCAGTTTAGTAAAAAGTGTACTAGTATGTATTTCTTTTACATTTTTTCTTCTTTTCAGGTGATATTCTTTAGTCTTGTATTCTTCGCATTGCTAATAAGCTTATTATGTAGCCTGCAGTCCCTACTTTTCTATATGGAGCAGCCCATGAAGAGGGTAGAACGCTTGATGCAATCAGAAGAGAGCTGGGTTACTTCAAGCCGAATTCCAGCGGAAACCAGTGGTCTGGGGGGCTAAAATCAGAGACTTTGGCACTGAAGCCGGATGAGGGTCCAGCTCAAGTGCCTCCAACAAAAGGTGTCATTGTGATTGGGGCAACCCAATGGGTTGACAACTACAACATTCCGGTCTTCTCTACTGATATCTCAGTGGTTCGCAGAATCGCGAAACGGGTGAGCGGAAGAAGAGGCGGACTTCCTTCAGTCCAGGCCATGGCACTTAAACATGGCGAGACAGTCATCGAAGTGGCTTGCAACTTGTTGGAACCAAATAAAGTGGGAGGAGAAAGAGTTCAGCTTGAAGTAGAGAGGCTTGCCAAGGAAGAGGGTGTTGCGGTTGGCAAGGGCTATTTCACTGATCTTTCTCAGGAGAAAATCATTGAGAGTTACTTGAAGTTGGATTCCTTTATGTAACAAGAATATGAAATTTATAAAAGAAGCAGCAACTTCTTCTTTGATCATCTTTTAAAAGAGATCAACATAAATAAATAAATAAATAAATAAAGATACAGCAAGCGTCAGTTGTCTAGCCTCTGTTTTTATCTTCATCTGTTTGCCAACGTCATGGTTGTGCATACTTTAGTCTACTTTGTTATGTTACTTTTGACATTTTGTTGCCATTTCTGTGACGCAAAAGAACTCAATCTGTTTGTCTTCACTAGCTGCATTTTCTGTATACTGTTCAAAAAATTTCAAATCATCATACGCTCCTCAACATTTTAAAACCTTGTCGAAATCAATTTTGGTTTAGCTTAAGCTTCTCCATTAGTTGAGATAGCATACTTTTCATGAAGTTGCATCCTGCGCCTTGAAACTTTTTTTTTTTTCCCTCAGAAAGCATGCCATAATCGCTTCGATAAACAAGTAGTAGGCACCAGAAGAGCATGATGGCTTAACTTTTGAGCGATGACATCTTTGGTCCTTCTCACTCAATTGAAGGAGAAAGGAGTGAAAATCTTGAGTTGACGAACTGACGAACTGATGCAGAGTCCTAAATTGTCACGTCTTAACGGTTACAACAGAATTTGCTCAAAAACTAAAGGAAACCCCCCATAAAGGTCCTAGCAGTACAGTACATCTCCTTGTGGGATGTACGTACTTCTTATTTTTCAGTTATCAGAAAAGAAAAGGGAATAAAAACAATTGAAGCCCTGAAAAGAAAAAATACATATAATATATATAGATTAAATCATCATTACCATTTTGGTAAGAGGATATATTGTAGCCTTAGACAATGTTTGGTAAGAGGGATAGAAAATAAAAAGAAACGAAAGCCATTTACTTAGGTTCACCATGTTTGGTATGAATTCACTTACCTATCTCTTTATATTTGAAGTCGGTAACATTGAGGTACTTAAAAAGAAAATGAAATCCCTCACCCAATGTATTCTTTGTTCTTTATCTCCTACAAAACAATTATGGGTCGTAAAATCTTTTCAGTAATCCCCACGTCTTTCTCTTTCCACTTTTCATTATTCCCTCCGACGAAACAAGCTCTCTTACTCTAACATAGACCAAACGGCAGACTGAAAGCCTCCAGCAGATGCCTATAAATTTCTGCAGCTTTTTGGACGGTTTCTAACGTGGAGTTAGACCAGATATGACAACCGCATAGGTTGATTAGGTTTAGAAACCGTCTTTGGTGTTTTGGAAGTTTGGAGTCTGATCAATCAACTAATTCCACAACACTTATTATCCAAGAGAACTCATCACGAGTATTTTCCGCCATATTAGAAAACCTGAAATTTTTATACTTTATAACGGTGCTAATGAAAAATGAGAATGCATAATGAGTTGGTCTGTATTTTTTTTATTTTGTGGCATTGACTAATCAACATGTGGGCACTGACAGAGCCAGACTTTGAATTCAGTAGAGCACAAATATAAACGAAGTTGATTATAAATTATCATAACGTAATACAAAAAACTTATCCACTTAACCTATTATAACCTATTATAATATTATGCATGTTTCAACATTATTATAAATATAAAAATAAAATCTAATGGATCTCTCTACATATCTTAATGTTATAGAAATTGATGAAATTTTAAAATAAAAGAGATCACAGAGAAGACGGTAGTAAATTAATCTATCAAAAAATAAAAGATAATAAGTTAAAGAAGAGAGAGGACAAACTAAAATAAAAATTTTTAAAAAAGAAAAAAAAAGTAAATATGGTTGAAAATAAAAAGAATTTGAACATATAATGGACCTTAAAAAGAAAGGGTCCACATGATAATTTAAAAAGTAAGTTAAATCAAAACCAACACTATATAAAAGACACTGTTAATTTATTGGGTGAGAAATTGAGGATTCAAACGACAAAGGACACATCTTTAATAAGGTATATCAGTATAATAAGGTACATCAGTATAGTAGCTTTTTCAGTGGAGCCACGTGCCCCCACTGATCCTGTTGTGGCTCTGTGTCAGCATGTGGGAGCGTTGGCTCATACAGGTGCAGCCTCAATGCTGTATCATATTTATATATATTTATATGTGTCTGTATATATATACTATATATATATATATATATATATAGAGAGAGAGAGAGAGAGAGAGAGAGAAGCGGTGTTTATTGTCTTCTATGTCTTTTGTATAATCCTTTTACAGAAAACAACTGGCAATATTTCTGCTTCAAAGGTTTCAAAGAGAAGAGAAGAAATGGATTACAGCCCAATTAAGGTACTGACATATCCCTCTTAATGCTTAATGTTCTTCACACTTTTACTAAACTTTTAGATTAATCTTCCCCTTTCTTTCACTTTTAGTGATAACTATCCATCTTGTCTTCACTTAATATGTATGCTGAGGAAAAGCCAGGACGAAGTGAAGTTGAGGAAGGTTTTTGTTGCCTTACCTATCCCAAAATACGACTTCGGTGAAAATACTTTGAATTTCTTTTCTTTTCATAATTTTTATGGCTTTTTGTGAAATAAAATCAAACATTCTTGAAATGGTTTATCTTTTTTAGTTTAATTACTCTCTTTTTCTAATCTCACATTTCTGAGAAAGGAAAACTAAAATAATCTCATATTCGTGATAGGAAGAAAGAATGAAGATTTCCTATTCTTTTTGTTTGGCATTATTTTGTTCACGGTGTGTGAATAATATCTTTAGAATATTTTTTTAATAAATATATTGCATAAATTTTGTCGTATTTACGTATGTTTTTTATTTTTTTGTTGTGTAAGCGATATAACATTTTTGTACTAAAACAAGAATTAAAGTTTTTTTCCCTTTGTTTTTTTTTTTTTTAAAAAGTAATTTAGTAGAGACATAAAATTAAATTTTTTTTAACTTTGGGTATGAGGATATAATAAATCTGTGTCTTAAAAAAAAACATAAATAAAAAGAAAGATATCAGATTGAAAAAAAAAAAAAAAGGTGAAACCAAGTTGAGTAAAATAACATAAAAGGGTAAAATTTTAAATTACTATACATTACAATTGCTCTTATAATTCGCCTTTCCATCTAATGTTCAAGTGGATCCTAGTTTAAAGTGTGGCGGTTTAAACTTTATTTAAAAACTGAGGGCCTTAGAACAGGGACTCCAAGCTCAATTTCCTCTACCAAACAAAGGGCTACCCTCTTCGCTTACTTTTCATTTTACCTTTTCCTTCCTCCCAAATCTCTCCAATTAAACACACCATAAACCATAAACTAATGAGTCACATATATTATTTTTTTTTTACTTTTTAATATGTGTGCAAATCCATTTAGATTAATTTTTTATTATCACAAACAACAATTAATCAGCACACATGTAGTTTTAAAAATTCCAACCAATCTAAATCCGCATTTAATAAATTGTATCAATTTAATTTATTATTTGGTCATTTTTAACACTCCTACTGAAAAGGTAAAAAAAAACAAAAAACAAAAAACAAAAAGAAAAAGGTTTCAGGAGATGAATTGTTAGGAAAAAAATTTAGTAAATTGGTATTTGTTTTTTCAAAAAAAAAAGGGGGCCCAATGTTGCTCCTCTTCATAATAATGATGGCATTATTGTTTGGTGCTTGTGAAAATTTTTTAAGATACATGTGATGCATGCAAAGACAATACAATCAATCATCGAATAATGACTGAGAAACTATTATTTTAAGTAGAACACTACAAAAGATAAGAAAGAACATTATCAATTAATGATCAATATAGGAGATAATTGTTGCTTTTGTGATCAACATGAAAATGGGGAAAAATGCAGAGACCAGTCCATGCTGCAAATCAATGTTGATATGATTTTCAAAGCAAACAATTTCTTCTTGTATGAACATATCCTATAAGATTTTGTCTTTTGTATGATCTCACACTTAACATGTAAAAATAGGGGGTACAAAATAATAATAATATATATTTCATGTAATAACAATCACAAGGAGGTGTACGCCCATTCACTTTACTGATTTGAGTTTAGAATTTGAGTGTTGCTACAGTAAAAAGTTCTCAAAAACAGTCACATCTAATTTTTTTGCTACAGTAAAAAGTTCTCACATAAAATTACATCTCAACTCGAATTAGCGAAGTGAACGGTCTATGTTGATTCATAATTGAGTAAATTCCTTGTTGCAAAAAAAAAAAAAAAAAATCCTTATCGTTACGCCACTCGTTTCGACGCATTAATGCTCGAAGGTAATAGAGAACAGCCAAAGCCAAGCATAATTTGCCTTTAATCTGTTTGTCAACAAGTCCGTGAATACATTACTTTGCCTTTAAATCTGTCTTGATATATTTTGGCATTTTGTCCTTTGTTTTTTTTTTTTTCTTTTCTTTATGCTAGTTTGGTTTTCTCTGTGTAGTACTATTCAAAAAAGTTTTAAAGAGGGCATCAAATCAAAGGTCATCAACATTCCAAAACCTTATCCAAAACTAATTGGCTAAGGGAATACTCTAGTTAAATTTTAAGATGCTGCCATTCTGGTAGGTGAGATTGAACGCATTAAAATTTGCAGTTGAGATAGTTTGGTCCTGAATTTTAGCCTCAAATTGTCCATAAATGATATGCAAAAATCAATTGTCCATACAAAGGTTCAATGTGTACAATCACAACACAAGGACCACTAATGCCGTCTCTTCGCACGAGAATCGCATGCTCTTGCAAAATATCAGTCTGCCTACAAGTGAGGTAGACAGGGACGGAGCCAGAAAAATTAGTCAGGAGCAAGGATGTGACAAAAGTAATACAGATGTAGAAATTTAAGAGGGGGAAAATTACAAATTTTATACAAAATTAAAAGAAAAAAGAAAAAGGTTCAGGTGGGGTGTCCACCCTCCTAAAATTATATAGGTATTTGGTACTCTAAACGGGTGTAGTAATGGACTTATAATAGCACTTTAGGAGCCAGGGGATTGGAATTCAAGGTGTCAAACACTTGAGATCGACGTGGAATCAGTACCTGACTACTGACTAATTATCTCCTCCAATGATCACTTAAAAAATGTGGCCCTCTCTCTCTTCTTTTTTTTTTTTTTTTTTTTTTGGTTAGAAGGGCATGTTTTTCTTTCATTCAAACCCTTGTTTGCCTTACTGTGAACCCATTGATTTCTATTTTCTTTCCATTTCAAACAAAAGACACCTATTTATAATATTATAGTTAAATGGAGTAAGTACGAATATGACAAACACAAAGGCTTAGGTGTTGATCAGCAGAGACTAAATCAGAAATTTAGAAATTTTAGAAATCGGGTGTCTCTCAATCAACTCCCACTAATTTATTCCAAGATGACCCATTTTGGAGAATTTGACAGAAATGGAGTTAGCGTGCAGGATTTGCAATGCTGTTTCCCATACTAAAGAATTGCTCTCCTTTATTATTTATTTATTTTTGGGCATTGGCTTCTCAATTTGTGGGGACATCTGAGTCATAGAAACCCTTCTATTAGCTTCAGAAGCTTATAAATGCATCTTTCACCATCAGTTTCTCTAGTAAACATTGTAAACACCGGAGAGAAGAAATGGATCATAGCCCAAGTTCCAAGGTAATTTACTCATTTATTTTAATTTTTTTCTTTTTTTTTTGGGGGTGCTAAAGTAACATTGTTTAAGTAATTCCTTTAAGCATTTCCCTCTTGGTCAACAAATTAATACTAGAATTAATTAATCTACTCTTACTCTTCCCTCACTTTCGAATGGTATAAAAGTCTCTTTTTTCCAATGTACATATGAAAGGTTTTTATTCCTTTTCTAGCTGATAAATTACGACTGTCATGAAGTAATTTGGCTTTCTTACCTAATAATTTACGCGTTGTCTGTGTCTTTGTGAAACAAACATCAACCTTTTGTCGAAATAGTGGTTGAACTAGTAAAACTAATGATTTTGGTACAAACTGATTTCTTGTTAGCGAAACTTATGTGCTGGAAATCGCTCGTTTTTAAGGTGCATGCTTTTTGAACTTTTGAAGCTGTATTTTATTACTTCACTTCATATCAGAAAAATAATTATGATATTGCATTATTTGTCTGCTAGATATTGCTAATACTGGGCGCGTGGAAACGAATTTGTGACATTACCCATGTGATGCACGCGCGGATGATCTTTCTTTAATAAGAAAACATTATTTTAAGGTCAACTTTATCAACATAATAAGAAACCAAATAATTAATTAGCTTTGACCCCAAAAAACTCATCCTCTAATTAGCACCCTTCCTTTGAGTGCCATTCAGGGTTTGGTTTTATTCGTTGACAAGATAATATCGTTGAGTAGCTTCTAGAGAATTAGACAGGTTGTTCTTGTAAAAGAGAAGTGAATATTTCCTCTTGTGATTTGTGAACATGGAAAAGAAAAAGGCCGCGGACCAGTCGATGCTGCTATGCTGCAAGCTCTTCATTTCCGAATCGCACAATCGCAGTGTTTTGGATGCCATTGAAAGAGCAGCCAGGCATGATCCAGAATCCGTCATCGTCACCAAGTTTGACGATAGAGCTTACAATAGAGCCAGATACACCATTGTTTCATACGTTGTGCATGATTGCACAGGCGGTGCCGTCTATAGCCCACTGCAACAAACTGTGGTGGCCATGGCTGAGGCTGCTTTTGATGCCATAAATCTCGAGACACATTCCGGGGCTCACCCTCGATTAGGCGTCGTCGACGACATTGTCTTCCATCCGTTGGCTCATGCCTCTCTTGATGAAGCGGCTTGGCTTGCTAAGGCTGTGGCTTTGGACATTGGCAATAGGTTCCAAGGTACGGTCCAGATCTTGTACAATATTGACTTTAAACCTCCCTATAGTAAGTGTAGAACACAAGATTGTTTGATGAAAACAAGATTATTTGATGAAATCTCCAAAGTTAATTTCTTGTGTTATATTTGATATAAAAGATGCTAAGGAACATCAGTTAGTGTCTAAAACATAACGGTTGATCAGCATCCCACATGAGGCCCACGCATATCAACGGTTCCTATACGAAATTGAAAAGTCAAGCATGTTTAACAAACTAGGAATTGGAATTAATTAACATGTTAAGAATTGACATGTTAGTGGCCAAGACTTGGGGTCCTTCTACATCATCTATAATCAATAAATTTGACATTTTTTACTTATCGATTGATGTGTTGAATAATTAAAAGTGTTATTTTACAATTATTAAATAATTAAAATTTCCATTTTATAAATTTCAAAAATTAAAATGATGAGAAGAAGTAGCCATATCATTTAAGATAGCTGATAACATCATGCATTTTTTTTTTATCAGCAATATATTGGCATTTGTATTATTGTCTACTATTGTATTGATCTTTGATATATATATATATATATATATATATATATATATATATTTT